CCTGCTGCACAGGAGGGGACATTGCTGCTGCAGCGCAGCTGGGACCTGGGACCCCCATGGGCACATCGACTATCTCTGCTTGGCTCCCAAGAAGGAACTGGAGACCTGCCGAGAGGCTGCAGCAAGGGCAGGATGCCCTGACATGGGTCCTGGCTGGCCACCCCTCTCAACCGTGCTGCTGCAGGAGTCTAGAGTTCCCTCTGGGCTGGCGTGACCCGTGGCTCCTTGGCCAGCCCAGTCTGTCCTGCCAGCCTCCTGCTGAGCCTTCTGATGCCAGCTGCCTGTGCACCAGGAGTTGTGTGCACTCCTGTGCTGGGGCTGAATGGGCTTGTCACTGAGGGCTTGTGTGCTTCCCTGCTCAGCCCTGGACGGCTGCTGGGGAGGGAGCCTGGCAATCTGGACTGGGGTGCCCATGGTGAGCACCTGCCTCTGAGCTGTTGGCTCCCACTAGTCCTTGGGGCTGTGGGCTGTCAGCATTTGGGGACGTTGGTCTCTGCCAGGGGAGTGGGTTCAGCCCCTCATTTGTGAGGGGACTGGCTGCCCATGCTACGGGAGAGGCGTGGGGTCGGGGAGCACAGGTAGGATCTCAGTGCATTAATAAAGCCAGGTTTTCCAAAGAGATGCAGCATCCCTGTCCTGTGTGTTGGAACTTTCACACAGAGGCAGGGACCCTGCACTGGGGTCACCTGAGGCCACTCTGTGGCCCAGCTGGCACCAGGACTGTTCCTTGTGCTCTGCCGGGTGCCTGGTGCACCCTGTGTGGCAGCGGGCTCAAGGGAAAGCTCTGCCTGCCAGTGCCATGAGGCACAAGCTGGGCTCTGGTCCCAGCTGTGGGGCGGTAGCCCTGTGGGACACGTGCAGGGCGTGGGGTGCCCAGTGGAGCCAGCAGCAGGCACTCCCCTGGGACTGGAGCACAGGCTGCAGCTTCAGCGGTGTCTGACATTGAGACGTGTTGCCCTTGGCTCAGCATGGCTCAGACAGCTCTGGCATATTTGGGTGTGCAAGGTGACTTCAGAGCCCTGTGACTTTCTTTTCCGTCTTTGCTACTGTCTTGCTGGCAGTGCCCTTGGCTGACTTGGGAAGGATGCTTGGCAGGGAAGGGGTTCACCTGCATTTTAGGTTGGGGCTTGAGCCGAACTCTCCCCACCTCTGTCCCACACCCCTCCTCCACATGTGCCGTGGTTTATTCCCCGCCCAAGCCAGTTCCAGCCAGGGAGCCCCGGCAGGGCTGTGCCGTGGTCATGAGGTGCCTGTCCTGGAACAGTCGCCTCATTGTCTGCAGCCCTGGGTCTCGGCGGCTTCCCTTGCTCGCCCACGGTGCTGGCCTCGTGGGGCTGAGTCAGTGCCCGGCGCCGGTGGGCTGACCTCTGCTCCAGCTGGCGCTGGCGCCGTGGGGTTGGGGCCCACAGGCTGCTGCCTGCACCTGCCTGCCCTCACCGGCGGTGGGTGGCCCCTGGCAAGGCCCGAAAAGGTGCTCTCAGCCCTGGAAATCCCTTCTGGTCCTGTGCTGTTCCTCGGGCCCCCAGCAGGTGCTGGCAGCCTGCCTGTGTCCCCTCGCTGCTGCCTGTGCTGAGCTGTGGGGCTCTCCTCCAACCGGCACTGGCTACAGCAGCCCCGGGGCAGGAGTGTGCTGTGGCCTGGCTCTCCTCGGGCGGGCAGGTTGGGGTTGCCTCCAGGGGCCCTGGGCATGCTCCTC